AGTTTCAGTACCTTCGACTATATTAGGTCTACATCATGTTCAACTAAACAGGCCCAGCCTGTACACACAACATAGGACGATATCACAAAGAATGATGCTTTAGCATGTGTGTCTATATACTTTCTTAAGAACACAGGACCACCCACAATACAACTGGAATAAATGAACTGTAAAGATGGAAGCACTGGCCAAACCAGCCCAGCTGATGTTGCTGCTTCTGTGGCAAAGAGTATGGGCTTTGGACATCCCTCTGGAAAGTAAGGCAGCCCTCGGATCAGATGTTCTAAGCTGTTCGGTGTGTTGTTCATTTACCTAACTTTTCTAGGTTTCACGTTAAGCCCATTTATCTATCTGCAGTCAGACAACCCCCAACCATTTACAAACAGTCAATGAAGGAGCATATTGTTGACCCCAAAGACACGATGGTCATAGAGTGTGAGGCCAAAGGAAACCCTCATCCCATGTAAGAGCTGAATCACTCCATTCACTGCTTCTGTTAAAGCTGGCATCACAATCTGCCCACGAATGCACCACTGACTTTTTTTTTCCCTTCATCCTTCATTGTTTCATTCATCAAGTTTCTCGTGGAGGCGAAATGGGAAGTATTTCAACGTGGCGCGTGACTCTCAGGTATCCATGCGCAGGCACTCAGGGACGCTGGACATCTCTGCTTGGAACAATCCCGAACAATATGAAGCTGATTATCAGTGCATTGCGTCCAATGAGTATGGCTCCGCGTACTCCAACATCATCAGAGTCCGCCTTTACAGTAGGTTTATTACAAAGTAATACCTTGAAATGTCACCAGAATACCTGAATATTTTTGGAGTTATGAATCTACAAGTTCCATTAAGTCATACTCCTACAGGAAGGCCCTAATTGTCAATCACACAAAAGTACCAGGGATTTTCTTACCAATGTTATCCCCTCAGGTATTAGTCTAACACAACAGGGGTCACCAACATGGTGTCGGGGGGGCACCTGGTAGCCCCCATAGACTACCTATGACTTACTTACTTACTTTGGACTTCTTTGTTTGGGAAGTCTGTATCAAACTCATAGCACTTTGTATTAATAAGTACCGATGAAGTAGCGGTCAGTTTCAAAAGGTTGATGACACCTGGTCTAACGGGTTTATCCCAAAAAGCATCCTGACAGTCGAGTCTTACTGCTGGTGTCTGTCTGTCTTTTCCTGGCTAAACATTGGACTATATTAAAATAAATCTTTTTGGAGGTTTTGGTTTTTTATTTACATCTACGTGTTTTCCAAAATGCAATGCTAAGAACATAGAGAGTCTAGAAAACTCCTAACATTGTAGTACTTCATCCAATTCTTTGATTTACTGACATTACTACATGTTACTGTGTATTAGCATATTATCATACAATATTTCCATGTTTATAGGAGCCCCCGTGTGGCCGAGGGAGATCATAGAGCCGGTGGTCGTCAGTGCCGGGATGTCTTTGGTCTTGCCCTGTGACCCTCCACCTGGGCCCCCTAAACCTGAAACCTACTGGATGACCAGCTGTAAGCACTTTTCCAGGGTCAACGTTTCAGGGGGATATGATCCGAGACGGAACACTGACATCTAGGGTTTAACAGTGATACAAACACAAACTTTTCAACAAAGTTTGGTCCAATGAACTTGTCTTGTTTCCTCACACTTCAGGTTCTTATGCCAGACCCTTCAACTGGCCAATCCAGACAGCTTTCCCCACCATGCAGGCTGTGCGGCAGGACCGCAGAGTTTCCATGGGGGTGAATGGGGATCTGTACTTCTCCAACGTACTGTTCAATGACTCCGTTGCTGACTTCTGTTGTAATGCCCGTTTTCCTTATAAGAACGTCATCCAGCAGAAGATGCCCGTGGTTGTTAAGGTGCATACCAGTGAGTATAATCCTATTAGTGTAGTTCCTTCCATTTTATTTTTTGAAGTTTTTGTGAAAGGTTTTGGTTAAAAAAAATCTGATGTTAAATTATAAAACCCGCAGGTTTCTTTAAAAAACTAGCTGCGTATCTTTATTTAATTTTTTTAATGCTGAATACAAAATCCGACTTGTTTTTCATTCCTGTTTTTCAAGATTAAACTAGATGCAAAAAAAACCCAACTTCTTATGATATAATTTTTAGCCTTTGGTCAAATTCATAATAATAATGGACCATTTTGTTCTGTTTCAGACTTAACCCCACACAGACTCTATATCCTGTATTCAAACTAATCTTACTAACTATGGTGGGTGTCGGTGTCGTATTTGTCACTTATTTAAATACGTATAAATACTTACTGAGATACTTGACGAGACGAACTCTGCCCTGATTGGAGGATTGTGGGTGTCTTTTTCCCAGCTCGATCAGTGGTCGAGGCTGCCCCCACCTGGCTGTCTCCAACGGGACTGTCCAGCTCCAAACTGGTCCTGCTGGGAGAGGAGCTTCTCCTGGAGTGCATCGCTGCAGGAGTGTGAGTGTTGACATCTTATTTCCAGCAGAACCTGAAAGAAAGAGGTACGATCACTTCTTCATTTGATGTGAGTAACCCTGTGTAAAGCCTTGTTTGTCACCATCAAGGCCAACTCCTCATATCACCTGGACCAAGGACGGTCAAGACCTCACAGCAACGCCACAAATGAAGATAAAGAACTTCAATAAGTTGATTCAGATCCCAAAGGCCACATTTGAAGATGCTGGTGAATATGTGTGCACCGCCACCAATAAGATCAGCCACATTCAGCACACCATAACGGTCAAGGTCAAAGGTGAGACACATCAGACAAACTTACTGTGATAGCATTATTTTTTTTTGCTATCCTGCTAAACATTTTGAGCTTCATTTCCAATTTATCAGCGGCTCCATTTTGGTTGGAGAAGCCCACCAATTTAGTCATGGCCCCTGAAGAAAATGGACGTATGGTTTGTCGTTCTGATGGGGCCCCCCGCCCCACAGTCACGTGGCTCGTCAATGGGGAACCCATTGAAAGTAAGCTGGACCACAGGAACAATATATGTGCAAATATAAATACCTATTTGTGCTGTCAATACTGTGCAGTTTATATTCCTTTTTTGTGTGTTTGTGTTTTTCAGATGAGACTCCACAGCCTAATAGAAAGGTGTCAGGTGAAACGCTGAGCTTCCACACTGTCACGGTTGACAACACTGCTGTTTACCAGTGCAACGCCTCAAACCCCTACGGTTACTTATTGGCAAATGCTTTCGTCAGTGTGCTACGTAAGTGATATTACATTGATACAAAGGCCCATCAGGATATTCCAAGTGCACTGAGAATATAAATTAAAGTGCATTATTTTTCTGTATGTAGTCAAAATTGAACCATTTCCACAATCCGAGTCATGACAAACTATACAGTGTTTTTATAAATTTGTGTAAATTCTTTTACATTAAAGTGCATTATTTTTCTGTATGTAATCAAAATTGAACCATTTCCACAGTCCGAGTCATGACAAACTACACAGTGTTGTTATAAATTTGTGTAAATTATTTTATTTCAGATGCAACACCGCGCATCCTTGGGCCCAAGAATGAACTAACAAAGGTGGTTGAGGGAAGTCGCACCTTTTTGGACTGCCGTTATTTTGGCTCCCCAGTGCCCGATTTGAGATGGTAAGAACTATTTAAAACCAAAGCAAAGTTGAGATCATGATTTTGCTCGTTTTGTGCTCGTTAATGTTTCTTATCACACAGGTCCAAATATGGACAGGGAAGTCTGGAAGGAAATCGTTTTCGCACCCACAACAATGGAACTCTGGAGATCAAGCAAATACGGATAGAAGACCAGGGAACATATGTGTGTGTGGTCAGCAACATCGCAGGAAGGGACGAGAGTCAAGTCAGAGTGGAAGTCAAAGGTCAGTTTGAAATTGTTCTACTAGAATGTTGGCAGGCTTCATACTTCTCTAAGTACTTGTTCTCAGACCCAAAAATATTTGCAACACCAGTGATCCAAAACTCTGTAACTTTACAACATAACCATTAGTGTCGCATTGTTCACATGGTAGGTTATGTAAACAGGTCAACAATGTCAACAGTTTGGAAGAATTTCAACATCAGGGACGAAGACAGGAGACTTAGTGAGTGGATAGAGGACACTCACTAAGTAATGTCAAGTACACAGACAAAAATACTAGTACTTGTATCTAATTGGTAAAAATGATATGTAGCGAACCCTAATAAAATCCTTTTATGTGTCCAGGTTTGTAATATGCAGCCTATGCAGGAGCTACAGGAGTTTAGTGTAGCATAGCAGTAGGACACCAGTCGGCCATGCACATGGTTCTGGGTTTGATTTCACCTGGTCTTACACAATCCCAATGTGGACTGTGTCAGAAAGGGCGCTCATGCTACAAATGTTACAATTATTTTTCACCCTTCTTCTCAGAACCTACGGTAATTGTAACACGACCACAGAGTATGAAAGTGGTGCGTGGGAATGATGTACGATTTGACTGCGGCGTGAAAACAGATGTTACGACACCGGTCACAACCACGTGGATGAAGGACAAGAAGCCAGTCAGGCTCGGATGGAGGTTGGTCCCTATTCATATTAATACTAATCGCATCCACTCATTTAAAGTCATTCAAATGATAGATGGACTTGTGTGTGAATTTCAGACTGACGCTAGAGGAATCCAATCTGGTCATCACTAACGTAAACAGAGACGATGAGGGCAGCTACACCTGCTTCATCAAGAGCGAACTGGACCAGAAATCAGCCACAGCACATCTAATGGTGATGGGTATGATGTCTTCACATTTATCATGCATTATCCACCATCACCACTGGGTGTTCATGTTTTAACCAATCCATGCAATCATGTGTGCAGACCGTCCGAATCCCCCCACCAATCTGGAGTTGTCGGATCCATATGAGCGCAACGTAAGACTCAGTTGGATTCCTGGAGACAGCAACCACAGCCCCATCACAGGTGAGAGCTGAATGATGAAATAGTTTTGGGTGTTTACCAATGGCAGTTTTTTTAATCGACCCTTTCTATCACAGAGTACTTAGTGCAGTATGATGACGACGACTGGTTACCAGGAAAATGGAAGAACCTCTCCTCATACCCAGGGACTCTCAACTCTGTCCTTCTGCATCTTTCACCTTTCACCTACTACGAGTTCAGAGTCATCGCTGTGAATGAAATTGGACCCAGTCGCCCGAGTCGCCCTTCAATGCGATTTCAATCCAGTGGTGCACGTAGGTTGACCCTTCATGAAATTTGAAATTTCATTTTTTCAGTCATTTATATATGCTGAATTTTATTTGAACTGCATCTTCATTCATTCAATTTTTAAAAAATTATAATAAGAAAATAAGAAGAAAAAATATTTTTTATCAATATTTCTTCTTTTGTTTTAATTACTAGACATTTTAGGTGAAATTTAAACCCCATTTGAATTCAAGGCATTGAATATTGACTCAAAAATATATATTTTTTATTTAATCCACAGCCCCAGATGCCATTCCAAAGAACCTAAAGGGTGTGGGTACCTGGAGGAATAACATGGAGATCAGTTGGGAGGTAATGAGGGTTGAACTCTACTTCAAATATGTTATTGTAAAAATGATGATTGCTACGGTGGCACTCAGTCTTTGTCAAATGCTCTTTCAGCCACTGACCTGGAGAGAATGGAATGGACCACACCTCAAATATCTGGTGTGGTGGAGACGGAGAGACTCCAGAGAAGAGTGGAAGAATGCCACCACTAAATGGCTGAGATACTACATATATGATGCCGACACCTTCACTCCTTATGATCTAAAGATCCAGGCTGTCAATGACTTTGGCCTGGGCCCTGAGTCCCCTGTAGTTACTGGGTACTCTGGTGAAGACCGTAAGTATTTAAATATATCGAGTTATTTGTAACTCTACAGAACACTGTAAAAACTTTAGCTTTAGCCTCTTTGTACTGAAGTTCTGCTCTGGTTCCTGAAGGTCCCTTGACTGCTCCCCTGAACCTGAGAGTGTCTGACATTGAAAGCACAGAAGTGACGCTGCACTGGGACCATGTGTCCCGTGAGTCAATCATGGGGGTACTGAAAGAATACAAGGTAAATTGTCCATGTCCAATAACTTCGTTCACCTGCTATTGTTTAGTTTTAGTTTACAATTTAGTTCCCCAAACTTTACACACTGAATAAAAATAAAATACAATATTATTTTGTACTCTGGAGTTTCTTACTGTTGCCTTTACTCTTTTGGCTATAGTTCTAGTATTCTAGAAAACAATTCTTGTGTTTCAGTTCTGGTACTCTAGAACCACTGCTCGTATTTCAGCTCCCTCTTGTGGTCCATAGTGGAATATGATATTCAGAAAAAATATGTCTGCTCTGTGTGTGTGTGTGTGTGTGTTGTAGTTCTACTTCATTCTACAGCATTGGTAAATAGACTTTTAATCTTATTAGGAATACATTTTCCACCATAGCTAAACAGTGTACTGTAGATCTGTGGTGTGTGGAATGTCTCTGAATAGTGTCTGATGTCTGATATATATAAAGTATTTGTTCAAAGTGTGTGACTTCAGCAGAATACAGTGCTAAACTGATCAATTAAATCCCTCAGGTTTACTACTGGAGGGACAGCAGCCAGTTGCGGTGGCACAGAGTGAACCGAGCCATGAAGTCCCATACGTTTGCAAACGATGATCCAGAACCCTCTGGAGTACTCACTGGACTTTTCCCCTACAGTAACTACAAGATTTACATCGTGGTGGCAAACAATCGATATGAAGGTCCACCCAGCAATAGCATCTTCTTCTCAACCCCAGAGGGAGGTCTGGAATGTTCTAATGGTTTATGCACATGAGAAAAATGTAAAAACTCTTCCTTCCCAAATCTAACATTAAACAAATTACTGCATTTCGTATTTTTTCCTGTAGTTCCATCGGCTCCCAGTTCCTTCAGGATCCAACAGCGCCATCTAGACAGTATTTATGTTGACTGGGACCTGCCAGCAGAACCCAACGGCATTATCACTGGGTATTCCCTCCAGTACCAGACAGGTACACTAACCACACAGATCTAGGGAGACACCTGAATGTCTTTATCAAATCCTTCTGAGGCAGCAGAGTGGACATTTCTGCCTAAAATTGTAAGAAAAATCCATGAGTATATCATGCTCTCTGCATTCCAGCTGCTGCAGACGGGACAAAACAGTTTGGATGTTGGATTTGTCCTCCACATGATTAGATTAGCCTTAGGTCAGGTGGCATTTGCACAAATGCCACCTGACCTAAAGTGGTCAAAGTCTATTAGTTATCACAGTATTGACAACCACGTAACAACTGGTGGAATCTGAATTTAGACCAGAGCAGAAAAGAAGCCTGAAGCCCTATCATCAGCTTAACCCCCTAAAAATGGTACACAGTATTACATTTAACAGCCACGCCTTCTCCTTTTGTTGTTGAACTGATCAAGAAAATCTTCATTTCCTGAAGGGAACTTCAGAAGGATTATTAAAGTTTTTTATCGAAAAGAAACGGTATCATTATTTCCTGAAGGGAACTTCAGAAGGATTTTTAAAGCTTTTTTTTAATCTATGAATCATTTTCTGTACTTTATAATGATAATGATAGTGAAAAGAAACGGTATCATAACAAGCAATGCCCAAGAAATACCAACAGTTCTGTTGGGGTATTACTGTTAAAAGTAATCGACAGTACTGAGGTACTGAGGTTGAGAAATGGTTTTGATCTCATTTCAGTGAATGCCACCAGAGGAGAGGAGCAGCGAGTCGAGGAGTTCCCTCCGAATGTTACGAGCTTCTCCATCCGCCGATTAGACCGCTACACTCGATACAGGTTCTCTGTGGCCGCTCGAACTCAGGTCGGATTAGGGGAGTGGCACACGGAGGAGTCCCCCCACTACACTACTGAAAGTAATTCATTTGTAGCATCAGCAGCAGCATCACGTACATGCACCGACTATGATGACTTATGTGGTGTGTGTGTGTGTGTGTGTCTCAGTATATGCCCAGGACCAGGTGGACATTACCACACAGGGATGGTTCATTGGGATCATGTGTGCTGTGGCTCTGATCGTGCTCATCCTTCTCATCGTCTGCTTCATCAAGAGGAGCAGAGGGGGGAAATACCCCGGTAATTTGGTTTTATTTTCAATCCCCTCGAGCTGTGACCATCAACTTGCCCGCAGACCCGCCGAAACTGCCCAATCTTGCCAACATCTGGATTCAAAAATAAACATCAAATGATCATTTTAGACAAAAATGTCATTTTTATTTCATTCTATTTGAGTGCACAGCCCCCAAGGTGTCTGTTCAGAAAGAATCTGGCCATGCAACAAATATAGTTGGTGACCCCCGCCCTAAAGGCAAATTCCATGTACATTTAACTTTTGGTGCTTTGTTTACACACTACTGTCATTACAGTCATAACCGACAAAGTTTACAACATTTAAAAATACTGCTTGGAGCTAAATCCTTTCAAGTATATATATTTATAAGTTATTTTCTTCTAATAAACCTGCTCTGTTTTCAGTGCGGGAGAAAAAGGAGATTTCACTGGAACACATGGATGAAAAAGATCAGTTGGGTTCATTTGACTATCGGTAAGTACACTACTGTTGAGTTTGTTGTGTTTTTGAACTAAGATGGTGCTATACAGTATTAGCATGGTGCTACCTGAGCACAAATCAACTTCAATAACATTTTACACTTCATTAATTGTTTCCTGTGTGTGTATCTTCTCTATCCGCCTAAAAAAAAACAACCCTGTACTTAATCCACTGAACCACCCAAGATCTCTGGAAAGGTATGAACACAAAGACTGCTGACACACTGACAAAATAATCTTAAGTTAATGAAGCGTACATTGAAAAGAAAATTCCAGAATGTTTCAATCAAATAAAAAAAAACTGGGAGAGGACTTTGATATTGAGATTACCATAAAAGGTTAAAGGTAAACTGGGATAATTTCCCCAATGTACATTTGTAAACCATTTGTTTTTTGCATAATTTGCCTTGTTCAAACGTACATCAACCTCTGGGTTGTAAAGTTAAACTTGTTTTAGGATCCTTGGATTATTTGACTTGAATCTAGAGGTGGGATTGAAAAATCCTGGAATTTTAATGGTAGTGCAAGATATCATAATGAATAAAATAATCAATATAAAATCTGGCCTAAAATGAACTCATATTGAACAAAAATGTGTTTCAGGATAGCACGAGTGTCTACCCTTCCCTACCCCCGAAGGTATGTTATCTACATTGTTTAAATAACAAATCATTTTGATCATACAGTAAAGTATCACCCAGATGTAGACCTACAGTGAGATATATATGAAGTTAAAGTTTCTTAATAAATACAATCCCAAGGGGGAAAAAAACTCCCTTTAATTTAAACAATGATCCTGAAAGTTCTGACAGAGTGGAGGAAAGGTTCGTTTTTTAAATGCTGTCTTATTTCTAAGGGAGGAGGAGAGAGGTCTCCAGCGGGGCCAGCCATCTATGGAGATGATGATAAAGCCGTCGGACAGTGACGACAGTCTGGTGGACTACGGAGATGGAGGGGAGATTCACTTTAGTGAGGATGGCTCATTTATTGGCCAGTACAACGGAACCAGAAGGGACGTCAGGGAGCTGGACTTTGGTGGAAGTCTGGAGCTTCACTCTCCACTGAACACTATCTACTCTCTGGCATGACACAACGTCCAACTGCCACAGTGCATTTCCAAAGGAATAACAGTTGGGAGATGTTTAATCATCTGCACCAACAGAAGGATTAGAGTCTTGGATGGAGAGTCAGAACCGGATCAGATTATCATGTTAATAAAAGCAACTGCAAGGACCCAGAGAACTGTTCTATTAAAAGTTCCTTGTGTTTATGTACTAATTTATAAATTCGCAATTATAATGTAAGGACGGGGATTACACATTGAACAAAGGATGAGTTAAGATGTTACTTTGGAATTTGGTTCATTTGGCCAAACAATACCTGTCATTATATCTATTAGGAGGTAACTCTACACCAGCTGTAGAATCATTTGACGCTTGTCACCAGCTGTAGAATCATTCGACGCTTGTCTCTGTAAATAAGACTTTTCTAATCTCTAATAGTAATAATGCTAATTAATAGTTGTTCTCTTGGCCAAGAGCCACTATGTAAATAAATACGTTCTACCTTACATGACGTCATTTTAAGTTCAAAGTAGATGTTGATGTAGATGTTAAGCAAGATTTCAACACAAGACTAAGAAGGAGAATCACAAAAATTCTCTTCCACATTTGAACCCACCCTTGGGAAGCAGTGGGCTCTTTTAGGTGGGATTGAAAAATCCTGGAAGACTCAACTCAAGGAAATTGAAGACGTTTCTCCTCCATCCAAGAGGCTTCATCACTTCTACTGTCCTGGTGGGGGATTTCCACCCCAAAAGGGGAGTGTGGTGTCAAAGGGCCTGAACAATATGACCAAGGGCCCGAACAATATGACCTGTATGTATGTAATTATGTAGTCATGTATCATATGTAAACAAGTTGTTGGCCCCATGGTGGATTGTTCCCCCTCCCTGTCCTCTGGGTGTGGGTCCTTGGTGTTACTTAACGGAGGTGTGAGTTACACTTGTACTCCCTGGGGAGAGAACTAAGGACGGCATTGTAGGTTGGTGACAATTGGTGTCTGAGGCCCCTTCCTCTGTTCAAAGATGGTCTTTACAGTTTGACATCGATGGCCTCTTTTACTCCTCTCTCAAACCATCTGTCCTCCTTGACTAGTGTAATGGCTGTTTCGTTTCCCCAATGTACAAGCGCACGGCTCAACACAGGAGGGCCACAACATCAGGCCAGGGCTCGGCAGTCCACCTCCACCTGAAGGAGAAGGGACACTCCTTTGTCAAAAGGTGCACATTTTAGCCAGAGAGGACAGATTTGGTTTGAGAGAGGAGTGAAGGAAGCCATTCATGTCAAACTGGAAAGACCAGCTTTGAACAGAGGAGGGGGCCTCAGACATCAATGTCATCAACCTATGGCGCTGTCTTTAGTTCTCTCCCCAGTATGTAAAGACATAACTCACACCTCCATTCAGGTAACAACCACGACCCACACCCAGAGCACAGGGAGGGGGAACAATCCAGCACGGGGGCCAACGACCCACACGACCATAAATAGCTTGAAACTCCCCCACCAGAACTGTAGAACTAACGAAGCCTCTTGGATGAGAGGAGAAACGTCTTCGACTTACTTGAGGTGAGTCCAGTTGCCTACTTGTTTAAAACTGCTTTTGAGATTATTATGATGACCTGGATGACTGGGAATATCCACAAGTAAAAAAGGGTAAAACAAACAGAAACTTGACTGTTCTTTTGCTGCTTTATGAGCATACAATTTTGCTCCCTTTTTAATTAATAACTGAATGTTGAAATATTTACATGGTGAATGTGTCTTTTCTATTACAGAAAGACACACACACAGTGTACTGTAGGTTTCGTACAGTGTGCTGCGAAACATTTTGAGTGTTCTTCTCTGTTTGCTCTTGAGGGTAAAGATCTTTTTGTCATGTTTTGTTGTCTGCTTTGGTTATCTTTTCGGGCTAAAATAACACACTTGTCCTTAAACATCTGTGCTTGTTGTGGGTAATCATTACCACAGTGTGTATTTATTACAGCAGCAGGACCTTCATCCCCCTGCAGTTCACCAGCCGAGCGCGTTCATCATGAGCAGACTAATTCTCGCTGCAGGTGAGGTTTGATAACGACCATCACATTGTAATATAGTTCTGATTTGTCTTTGACCCAACATTAACTAAAACAAAATCTGTGACTTGAACAGGCCTTTGTCTATGTCTTGGCACCTTGGGTGAGTTGAAGAACTATCTGCTTACAGTTCGCATTTAACACACACTGACAGTCATGGAATCTTCTATCTAATCCGTCTTTTTTTATAGTCTCGTCCACCAGACTGGTGTGTTATTTTACTAACTGGGCCCAGTACAGACCAGGAAATGGAAAATTCATGCCTACAGATGTTAACCCACAGCTATGTACTCACCTGATTTACGCCTTTGCTATTATAAACGATGTAAATGAATTGATCACATTCGAATGGAATGATGACGTTCTCTACCAATCATTCAATGGACTTAAAAAAAGGTGAGTTCAAATGTCAGAGGAACTGGCTAAAACAAAAAGTAAAAAAAAAAAAAAGCTGTCTATTTACAGTATGCATTTCCGCAGCAATCCTAATCTGCGAACACTCTTGGCTGTTGGAGGTTGGAACTTTGGAACTCAAAAGTGAGAAATTTGACTTAATATCCATGAAGGTGAGTGTGTTATGTGGGTTTTTTTTTTAACCTTTCCTCTTTTTCCGACGAATTTCGACACAGATTTACTAAGGTAGTTTCAACGCAAGCCAACAGGAATACATTTATCCAGTCAACTATAAAACAACTCAGAAAATATGACTTTGATGGTTTGGATCTGGACTGGGAATATCCTGGATCCAGAGGAAGCCCAGCAGAGGACAAGCAGAGGTTTACACTGTTGTGTAAGGTCAGACATCGACTTGGTGGAGTTTTCTGATAAACATGTTTTTGTTTATATTCTTTGGCATTTAGTCAGTTTGATGACTCTTGCCTTTTGTGCAGGAACTTCTTGAGGCCTATGAGGCTGAAAGCACAGCGTCTGGAAAACCCAGATTGATGATCTCTGCTGCTGTGGCTGCTGGGAAAGGAACTATTGACAGTGGTTATGAAATTGCAGAGATCGCAAAGTACAAAAAAAATTTACTTCCTAAGTCCAAAATTTACATGTGTTTTCTTATGTAAATTTATTTTGATTTGCGTTTCATCAGGTACTTGGACTTTATAAATGTGATGACGTATGACTTTCACGGCACCTGGGAGCAGGTGACTGGACATAACAGCCCGCTGTACAAAGGACCACAGGACACTGGGGATAACGTTTACTTTAACACTGTGAGTACACCACATTAAAGTAAGAATAACAGGATAATAAACCATATAAAAGTGGATATTGTATTTTAACATGGTTGTCTGTTTTGTTTTCCTTTTTTTTCCATGTATTGTTTCAGTTAAATGACAGAGAGAAAATATTGTTACTGTAGCTTATATACACACACACACAAATACATCTAAATTATTGATCATCTATTGATAATGAAACGATCTTGAGTAAGATCACATTTTGGAGTCTTGAGATCTAAAAGCGTGCAATACGCGTTTTAATCAAGAGGAGGCAGCATTGGAATATGGATACCAAAAGAGTGCACTGCCAAAAAAAAATAAAAAACGAAAGTAGAAAGAGCTTTGTAATTTAATTCAATCAAAAGGCTTCACAAATGGATTTTTATGCTCAGTACAAGATGAATTGAATACAAGCTGTTTTTGCAGTGTCGACTTGATGTCGCAATAGTTTGAGGTTTGGATTATGGTTAGGGTTGTCTTCCTCACTTATGTTTATATATTTTCATGACCACTCAAGGACTTTGCCATGAGGTACTGGCGGGACAAAGGAACACCTGTGGAAAAGCTAAATATGGGATTTGCTACGTACGGACGGACATTTAAACTTTCGAACGCTGCATCCACCGGAGTTGGAGCACCGGCATCTGGCCCCGCATCTGCTGGTCAGTTTACAAGAGAGGCTGGATTCTGGTCCTATTATGAGGTGAAAATGAAACAATATGTTGCTCTAACTTAATTTTATTTTTTTCCGAGACTAAACACATGTAACCCCACTCTCTTATTTTAGATTTGTGACTTTCTTAAAGGGGCCACCGTCCATGTGATTGAGGAGCAAAAAGTCCCCTACGCTGTCAAACAAAAGGAGTGGGTTGGATATGACGATAAGGACAGTTTTAAGACCAAGGTGGGTTTTGGCACGTATTTCTAAACAAATCTAGTAGTGGTTTTCAGGTTGACAAAAATTATTTTCATTTTGATCGTCTGACTACTGTAGGTCCAGTATCTAAAAAGCAATGGTTTTGGTGGAGCCTTTGTTTGGACTTTGGACCTGGATGACTTTAAAGGACAATTCTGCGATCTAGGAAATTACCCTCTCATCAGTCATCTGCGGTCTCTTTTAGCTTCTGGTATGAGGAAAATAAATTCACCTTAAAAAAAAAAAAAAAAAAAAAAAAAGAGAAATGATTTCATAATGAACTATGATGAACTCATATGTAAGTTTACTGAAGTACTTTCTTATGTCCCAGATCTCCCTCCCCTTCCCACCGGAGAAACCCCAGGGACTACATCTACATCTACATCTACATCTACATCTACATCTACGTCTACATCTGGAGAAAAAACAACCAAGCCCACTGATGCCGCCCCTGTGTCTCCCTCAAACTTCTGTGCCACAAAGTCTGATGGTCTCTATGTGAAAACCGATGAGCCAACCTCTTTTTACAACTGTGCCAATGGAATCACCTACATCATTAAGTGTCCCTCTGATTTAGTGTTTAAGAAAAGCTGCGATTGCTGTGATTGGCCTTAAAAGTTGGCCCCACTGTCATTTTTCTACATGGTGAGCTCACATGATAAGATTTATATGAAATAAATAAATAAATATTTGTTCAATCAGTGGCACCACAGAGATTACTGATGTCATTTTTAACTGATGTAATCAGTTTACATGTACACCACACACACACACACACACACAGGAAAACAATTTGTGTGTTGTTCATGTGACAGTGTATTTGACCTATTTGTTAGTGTAGATATAAATATATCAGAATATCAAACCAATTTATCCTGTCTTGATTAATAATAATTTACAGCACATTTGGTCATTTAAATTTAACCTTTTTTTTTGCATTGTTGCTCAATAGTACTTTTATTGTGTATCGTGTGATACTACTATACATCATATATGCTTTTCTTATTGTAAAATCGAAGGATAACTACTGGGTACAAAGACAAATGACAGAGAAAAAAAAAAGTAAAGTAAAAAATGTCTGTCAACAAATACGTATGTTATAACTGGTTATACATACCAACAACCTAAAGCGTGCGACAGAGAAATGTGTCCTCTCTATACTGCTGTGAACTCAGTAACACTGGTCTGATACACATGAATATTATTTTATTTTTTATTGAAATTGTATTTTTAGCAGTGGCCGCTGCAGCAGTAGTAGTACCAGAAGTAGTAGGAGGGATGTTTACTTTTTGGTCTTGCCTTTTATATTTAATATCAAATGCTCGGAAGTGTCTCCTCAGGTTTTAATTGTCAGTTATAAAATTTGTGAATACTAAAAAATAAAATGACAAAATATTTTCATTAGTATTATTTTCTACCAGAAAACTAAACTCAGGATATTGAGGAAAATACATTAGAACACATTTTGTTTTTGTTTAAAGGCTCTATTCTGTTTAAAGGTTAAATTCTTCAGTTTACAGCAGGGGTGTTAAACATACGACCCACGGGTCAAAAACTGGCCCACTTAGGGTTTCAATCCGCCCGACTTGGTGAACTTTGAAAATGCACAAACACTTCATGTTCAGGACATGTTTTGTAAAAAATATTTCATTGTTAGTGATTAAAAAAATAAATATAATCACATATAATTATGACGTGTCTAATATACGATTACTTCTCTGCATGTAAACAAACGGGGATAAGACATGGACTTATTGTTATTTATAGGTAATTATGTTATGATTGTACTGGTCTGGCCCACTTCACATCTAATTAGGTTGTAAGCGGCCTCTAAAGCAACCTAGATCACAATAATCGAGGGTCTTGGTGACGGAGTGTACAGTAGAATAGTATGGGAGACTGTGGACACACAGGAAGTGAGCGGTCAACATCTGTGATGCTCATGCTAACGCCGCGTTATCCGTATCTCTGCTGAGGACCATCTTTTATGCATCACTTCATAATTACAATGGAACATTTGGCTGAAAAGCAAAATAATCCTGGCGCTGACGTCTGAGTGTAAAAATAGTCAAATTGACAGCTGAAATGACTCGTGAATCATAGGATAAGCACTAAATTTTGTTCCTGCTGCTCTTGACACATCCTTCACGTATTTGTGGCGTGTCTACGCTTAAATTCTCAAAACAAAAAAGATGTTTCCTCCTTTCCTCTCATAAAAGGATCCAAGTATAGCTGCAGCCAAAGAAATATATTAAGGGTGTACTGTACATACTCTCATTAACTTGTTGTTTACCTACATGTAGGATTTTTTTAATTTTTTTTTATTGTGTCATATATTTAGAAGTCTCTAAATGTTCTCTGCGATTTCCTGTTTGGAAACTTGGGTGTGTCAAGTAAAAGAAATGTCATTTTAATTACAAAAGGGTGTGTCGTTAATTATACCTGAAAAGAAGTATGTCCTAAATCACACCCTATGAGCAAAGTGTCCCTAAATACCAAGCAGGTGAATGGTGTGTTTTGCCTCTTTACTGCTGCACCTGCAACCACGCCCTGTCAGCGAGGACAGTCGTGTCCAGTGTGACCTGTGTGTCGTCTGTGTGGGTTCACGTCCACAGTGCAGGATTATACTGAGTCAGGATTAGATCAACAGGACAGTTGAGCTGCCCATTGGACCAAACTCAGCCTTTCACCCTACTGTCGCAGACAAGTCAAACAGCAGTAAACAAAGGGAACTGGAAACAAGTTGCTCAACATTCATAGACAGCATTGATATATGTGTTTTTGAGTGCTCAACATTCATAGACAGCATTGATATGAGATGTGTTTTTGAGCGAAGAAAAATATTTTCCATTTGACAATCATCTAACAAAAATGTTCTTGGTGTCGTGGTGTCGTCGACAACCACATTGTTGGAAAAATTAAATATTATATTTACCAGTGGCCAGCGGCAATATTTTGTTCAAAGGATTTGGGTGTGAGTGATTTCAGCGAGCAACAAAAACGTCTCTAGTCCACGAAACCCAGAAGAGTGCAGAAGATAAATGTCATCATGCGTATGCGTGCGTATGTATGTGTGTGTGTGTGTGTATACTAACAATAAAATAAAGCTGCTCTCTTGCTTAATTAATGGCTGAAAAAGGACTAGATGTTTTCTCTTTTTGTCTATGAACATTGTTCGTGGCATGTCAGGAACATCGGAGGACAACACAAATGTGGAGAAAAAAAAACTAAATCATGATGTGTGCTACATAGTTTCTAAATAGAAACATTAATGAATCAGCACAATGGTAGTTTGGGTTTGGGAGGGGTTTTAATACAGCGTTATTATATAATATTCTAAATAAAGATTCAAATGATATTGCATTTTAACTCTAATTTTTTCAAGAGATGTAAAGAAAAAAACCAGCTGACCTATTTTTTCACCTGAGAAACAACTTTTTTTTTTTAATCAAGACTGATGATCCTACTGTTGAGCCAAAGACTATTTGGTCATCAGTTAGTGACTTCAAGGAAATCTGTCAACACTGGAGTGTTTGTTGGACAGCTGCTTCGCTGAACTCCAATGTGACCCACCTGAAATGTTACCTCAATCACAGCAATTAATCATAGAAAACCAGTAAGACTGGTTTTCTATAATTGCAGATGATTTCAGGATGCTTTTAAATGTCACATTTGTCATCTTACACAACACTGTGCTCATTGCTTCACTGTGAGATGTAGAAGTCAATACGGTTGTAGTGATATATGGTCGTTGGCCACAAGGGGGGGACTGTGATACTTGCGAGAAAAAAAGGAAAACTGCAGCATTTGCTCTATTGATTGACCTGTTCATGATGATGAGGTCATGAAGGCTGATTGGACATCTGGTTGACATGGTTTATAAAAAATAAAAACAAAATCTTAATATTTGAATATATTGAACTGAGTTATTTGTCTTAATGACTTAATTGATAATCAGGATATTTAAAGACTTTTCTGAATGTCTCTCTTAATCTTTTTTTTCTTTTTTAAATGAATGTAGTTTTATTTTTTTGTTATTTTTGATGGTAAACAATAGCTCCAAATAAAACCGTTCCTAATTTTCCCTTCCTGGTTAAACAGAGGTTTAAGGTGTCCCAGATCAGACCCATTCATCTGACTTTGACTCTAATATTTGGCAGACGTAAAAGTACACAAAAGATACTCTACATAAAAGTACAAGTACTACCAGATGTTTTTTTTATTCTTTTTTTTTTCTACTGCTTGGGTTGTGAAGTAGTTTGTACCAAATTCCAGGGAGTCAACAGGCGAAGGTAATGTTCACCCTGAACAGTTCACCAGGATATCACAAGCTGCCAATAACTACTTAGATCTCATAATAGTTCATTCCAGAAGAGCCCGAGTTTTCTCTTTTGACCTCGGTGGAGATTTGGTAAGATGAGGTAGAAAGGTCACAGTGGCAGGCTTGTGTTTTTACACTGGTCGCGTGTGTGTGCCATGTGTGTTTTCACAGACACATGTAACATGACCACACTACATGTCATGTAAGCCAAAACTTTCTTTTGTTATCATAGCTCACCTGTGGGTGTGCCAATGTTCTTACCACTTCATTATCCAGTGTGTAATTAGATGTTCCCTACATAACAACGCAATCATGAGGATGATGCAGCTGTTGGTCACTTCAGCTAATTGCTGTGCTTATTCTCAGTTTTTATTTATAGCCTATGGGTCACTGCCCTTTGACGTACATATTGTACATGTCAGGTAGGATTGAAGATCCATACGATCAGTGTGAGGTGATGTCAAAAGTCTGTAAAATAAATAAATAATAATAATTCAAACCCCTCTGCTGTCAGTGAAACCGTCGTGAAATTACTAATTTGCATTTTTTTTTAATGTGTTCAGTTCATGAAAATACTGGACACCGGGCTGATTTTTGTTGCATTTTACAATATTTTTCAGCTGTAGAGCTCGGTCTAGACCCAAGACTTTTGCAGGTATCACCCCAAAGATTATTTACTAAAAGGTGCATGTTCATTGGCGTCCAAAAGGTTTTAAAAAGCAATTGTTTGTGAAAATTTGAGATCCATTAACTTAAGGCAGCAGTATTTAAAAAAAACAGGTTTTAAAAAGCAATTGTTTGTGAAACTTAACTTAAGGCAGCAATATTAAAAAAAAAAAAAACATATCCCTACCTTCTCAATTTTTATTTTCTTTTTTTAAGTCTTAAAATGCACTCCAAATGCCTTTTACAACCATCAGGAAATACTTAAAGTAGAGCACCTGTTGCAGAAGTAATATTATTAAAAGTTCAATAATAAACATCTTCCTGAAAGCAGGAATTCTTTTAAAAAAGTAGTTTCAGGTCTTCTTGGATAGAGCACACGTCAGATTGGTGAATTTTGTCTACAGAGAAACTTATTGAGATATTATTGTGGGATAGAACCCAAGTCTACAGAGGGTGAATTCACATCCACACAACAAACAGGAGCACAAACAGATATACACAGAGGCTAACTGCAACAACACACCTTTTGAGAGGGTTTTAGTTTGGTTTTTGTCTAGTCATTATTTTCAGATCTAAAACAAGTGGCTACAAACTCTTCTTGGAAACATTTACATAGATTGAAATCTGATGAGAATTGAACAGATAAGGTTACCATTGAATTGAATACAGTTCTTTTTGGCTTCCCTGCGGAACCACAGTTTGGGACTCATTAGCTACGTTCAATTCATCTACATGGTCCAAGTGTTTAACCCGACTTCTTTGGTCCTGGTAGGGCTGGTGGTCTACTTCCAATTCTCTGTGTTCTTTTCAGTAAATTAGTATTTTAAAAGGGTAACAGTACGAGAATACTGTGAGCGAACAGAAAGTACAATATAATTTTCTTAAAATCTTAAAACTTTAAATGTGAAATCTCTGACCAATAAACTTCTGGTGCACTATTATGAAAGTACTTGACAAGGGATTACTTTCTTTTCTTGCTTCTTCTTCCTCTAATCGAGGCCTGTAATTATCTTTGACATTCCTTATCCACACCCAGGTTATTTACCACACCCATGGTTCTACTTATTCAATTAACATTGTGACCTGTCAGTCGTTCACCTGCCATTGTGGAGAGTGTATGCGTTTCGTTCTGTCCTTATCCATGTAAGTATTGACTTGTTTTGAATTATATTTTTACCAGTTCCCTATTTCAACAGAACTGCTGCTAATATTCATATGTTCAGAGGGGGAAGTGGGCCTGTTTACTGACCTTACAATAAGCATTGTCTTTAGCATGAGGCCTATTGTTTTTATTTGTGTTATTTGTTTGACTGGCGATACGAATCTGTGAGATTAATATACAGGTACAACATATTCCGATATCTTTTTCCTGTCATTGTAGAGTTGTTTAAATGCAAAGTTTGTTCTAGAGGTGCAAACAGGTTTCGTTTTTGTTCTATCCTAATGCAAGAAAACGTTGATTGATTGAGCATCATGAAATGAAATATTGGAGTATTTCAGTGTATTTATATATATATATATATATATATGATATTTGGTCACTTAGGGAACACAGATAACTTCAAGGCTATGCCTACAATCTGTTTCTCGTTTAACAATGTGTTGTTGTCTGCTTTTGAAAAACAAAAACAAAAAGTTTAACCAAACAGTAACACACAAACATATTTATACATAATTTCATATGTGAATTTTTCTGTTTTGTGAGTGTGTATGTGTGGCTTTGGCTTTGTGCTATTGACTTAAAACGTAAGTCAAAGAATTATGAACAACAGCCGCTGCTTTTGTTTTACTTGTGAGCATTCCTTAGCAGTAAGAAATGTTTTTTGCTACAAGCTAGGCTAAGTATTTGCAATGCCAGCCAACCAGCAGAGCAAGATTTTTACAAATATTATCTAATTAAGATTCCATGCAGACACCATGCAATCCCTGTCGTATAACTATGTCGTCACACACTGGAATTATATGGAAGCTGTTCTGTTAATGTTAAAACATGTTTAATCTAGTCCTGAAAACTGCAGCCATGGCCCCACCCCACCACACCCCCTTGTAAAAAGATGTCCACTTTGGTTTCCTGGTCATCTTTGTTGACTCAAGGTCCCCATTTTGATGGTGAATCAAAATTGATTATGATAATAAGATTTATTTTTTTTAATAAAGGGGCTTACACTTTGCTACTTTGTGTGATCAAATATGCAAAACAAAGTAAAAGCAGTGTGTATTTAAATTTATGAAAGCAAACTAAAAATATTTATTCATATATACCACTTAAACTATCTTTAGTGTCGTAATGTCTTCATTGACATGGACTCCACTGGAGACATCCGATACATTGGTGCATTTTCCCCAAAAGACCTGTTGAAAATTTATTTTTGTCAAGACAGCCATTTCTTGTATTAAATTATTATTTCTTTGTGATTCCTACAGTAACAAAATGTGTTGCCTTATTCTACACCTAGGTAAGACTCACTCAACAATGGCATACATTATAAATAAACATAAATACTTATTTTTAACTCGTACTGACCTTTTTTTTTTTTAAGGGTTCACGTTGCTCTTTGTCAGCTTTGGTAAGTTCATTACATTTATTCAAGAATTCTTCAAATTTCCATGTCAATATTTACCACGGTATTGATAAATATACACATGAACAGCGTATATATGTGTGGTATATATATGTTTATGGAGATGATGTTGCGCTATACTTCATTTTAAATGATTGTGTTCTTTCTATTTTAACAATAAGGATTTTTTCTAGGTTTTACCTTTCATTTATTTATATATACATATATACACATATGTACATATATGATATGCACATTCACATACATTTATTATGTATGTGAACCAATTTAAAACTGCAGTATTACAAATTCGCATTTTTAAAAGAACAGCGAATAACTAGCACCTCTGTGTTAACTCATGGTGGAACATTTTCTATCAGACTGCAATAAAGAGACATCGGTATACATCTATCTATCTTTCTAGAAAAGAAAAAAAACATTTGTAAGTTAACTATAGACAGTCATTAACCAAGCTTAAATATTCATGTATATTGACATGAATGTGTTTCCATATCCAGCATCTTCCTCCAGACTGGTATGTTACTATAACAGCTTAGCCGAGGAAAGGGCCGCCGATGGAAAGTTCACAGTTTCAGACATCGATCCATACAAATGTACCCATCTGATTTACGCCTTCTCCGACATTAATACTGACAATGAGCTGGTCCCGACAAGTGCAGCTGACATACCACGCTACCATTCATTTAATGAACTCAAGACCAGGTCAGACCTTTGGATCTCAATAATATTTGCATTCTTAAAGACTGCATGCCTGTGTGTGATTGGATGTTCTAATCCTTAATACTAAATCTTCCACAGCAACCAAGAGCTGAAAACCCTTCTCTCAGTTGGTGGTATCACCTTTAACAAACAAAAGTAAGTTTGATACGATACAGACATTCTCTCAACATCGAAACATTTTTTCGACATGTTATCTTGCTGAATTTTGGATCTGCACTTTATATGCTTATACGCTTTAAATATACTCAATTGTTGAAAAAGAATCTCTGATATGACCTATAACAAATAACAACTTGACATTTAAAACATGTAATTGATTATACAGGAAAAGTCAAAAAGATCTGGTATGACTTTAAAAAAATGTATTACTAAAATAACTATACAGTAGCTACTTCTTTACATATCTTCCTTTGAAGATAAGGTCAATCTCCAACTACTGCTAAGAACACCTATGCTAGTTTTAAATTAAAGTAACACTTGTTGGAATGCATCTAAATTGTGAATATATTTTACATAAAATTAAAAAAATATATAATAAAATAAAGCACCTTTCCTTTTATTTGTTTTAAGATTCAGTGGAATGGTAGGATCAGTGCAACAAAGACAAGCATTCATCCAGTCTGCAATCGAACTACTACGACAATATGGTTTTGATGGTCTCAACATTGACTGGAGGTTTCCAGAATCAGTATTGGACAAGCAGGGATTTACCTCTTTATGCCAGGTCAGGCCTAGTTCTGTGTCTGTTAGATATGTATATAGAGTGAGAGCGAGGGATTGACCAGGAATTTTTTTTCAGTGTTATTGCAAATTAAAAAGGTTGTCCCACATTCTCATATGTTTGGATTTTCAAAGGCTCTGCACGTAAAATCATATTTTGCCTACATCCCAATCAAGGGTTTACCCAACACCTTATCAATCCACCCACCCACAGATGGAGTCTTTGGTTACTATTTGCAATTCTATGTATTTATTTTCTTAATCTAGACATAATTCACAACTACTGTACTTTTAAATGTCACTTAAACATGTTTAAATGTTTCCCACGTCGTTTTACTTAAACAGAAAGAGACCTGGTCATCCAACACATACCTTTGGTTTATAATGTGATCATCAACAAATAATGTTAGACAAAAATGTAATTTTTTTCATTTCATTTGAGTGTCCAGCCCTCAAGGTTTCTGCCTAGAAAATATAGTTGATGACCTGATTTAACTGATTCATTTTTGTATTGGTTTTCAGGATCTTAAAGATGGGTTTCAATCTGAGGCGATTTCAACTGGGAATGACAGATTATTAATCACTGCCAGTGTCTCACCTGAGAAAGATGCCATCGATGCTGGTTATGAAGTGGCAGAGATTTCAGCGTAAATTTACTTTTGGACCTAACAGTTTTCCATAAAAGTTTTCTAAGATCCTAACATTTAATATTCATGCCCTTCTTAACTCTGACAGGAGCCTGGACTTCATTAATGTCCTTACCTTTGACTTCCATGGTCCCTGGGAAGGTGTCACAGGACATCACAGCCCCCTATACAGAGGTTCTCAAGATACTGGAGACCAGATTTATTCCAACACTGTAAATATTTTCAGTTCACTCCTACACATTCTTTACATCCACTTTGAAATTTAAATTGTCTGCTAACTTAATACATTAACTAAAATTTAAGGACTCAGCCATGCAGTACTGGATGGACCAAGGAGCACCTGCACCACTGCTGAATTTAGGACTAGCAGCATACGGGCGAGCATTTAACCTTTCTTCCTTATCTACTGATGTTGGAGCACCTGCCAATGGTGCTGGTGAAGAAGGTTGCTACACTGGTGAAGATGGATTTTGGGCCTATTATGAGGTAGAACAACATATATTTGTTTATCTTCTACCACCTCATCCTTTTTAGGGTCACAATGAAGCTGAAATAATAACATTAGTCAAGGGGTTATGGGCGAGGACACACCTGTGACAGTTCACCACTCTTCCTTCAGAGTAAATAATTATTACTCTTTTGTTGCAGACCTGTCTCTACACTGAAGGAGCTACTGTGCAGCTAATTACTGACCAAATGGTTCCGTATGCTGTAACAGAAAACCAGTGGGTGGGATTTGACAACAGAGAAAGTCTTGGTACTAAGGTAAACATTCATTGATGGTGAAATATCGACGGTTTAAGGCAGTTTAATCTCAGTCTCTAACAATTTGATGTAACCTTCCAGGTCAGTTACCTCAGAGAAAAGAACTTTGGAGGAGCCGTGGTATGGTCCCTGGACCTGGACGACTTTGATGGAAAATTCTGTAACCAGAGTGACAGCCCCTTCATTAGTCATCTGAATGATCTAATACTTACTCCAAATACTATTACCACGACAATAATAACTCCCACAACAACACAAACTTTAACAACCACACAACCTTTGTATACAATGATACCAACAACCATACAATCTACAACAACCACTACAACTCCTGCTACCACTCCAACATCCACAACTACAATTCTCACTACCACAACAACCACTTCCGCTACAACAACAACCACTCCTGTTACCACAACACCCACAACTACTACAACCACACCAACTACCACAACTACAATGCCCACAACAACAACTCCAACCACAACCCCCACTACCACAACAAACACTCCAACAACTATGGCTCCCACAACTACAACCACAACTCCCACTACCACAACAAACACTCCAACAACTATGGCTCCCACAACTACAACCACAACCCCCACCACCACAACCACAACTCCCGCTACCACAACTCCAACCACAACCCCCACAACAACAA